TTGAGTAATAATAATTGTACTTATAAAAGTACATATTTTTGATTGTGTGGTTTCTTGTATCATTAAACGTCGTGTTGTTTTTCGTATTATTTGGTGTCCATTTCTTATTTGTCCAGAGAAAAGAAAATTTGGCTTCGTTAATTGGTTGGTTCCCGCCACGATCTCACAAACTCACAAATGTGCCCGTAGGCACAAAAAGGTTGGGGACCACTGCTCTAAAACACGTATAAATCTACAATATCTAATGTTACTTGCGTCCGTAGTTATTAAAAGAATTCTACTGGTACTGATAAATAAATCAGTACACGAGCAAAATACCTAAACTTCAGCACTCTAAACGACAAACAAAAATTAAAATTCAAGAACTGTCTATACGGTGGATTCCTGCAAGTGGCCTGCATGCTCTTTAAGTGGAGTACGTCTTTTGGCACATTAATGAAAGTTCAAAAGATCTATAAATCAGAAATGTAAAGTGATATGTGATGAATAAATTAAATTCAGGGCTTTGTACAGTGTTCTAAACATCAACCGTCACAGCCCACGGGTGCGATACATGACCATATTGAATGTCCGTCAGTGTCCGCCTGAATTTCGCGTAGATGGGGTATTTTTGTTCTACTGTAGGGATTAGAAGCTTCTCACCTTTGTATGAGATTGACGCGATTGGACTTACCACGCACGCCGTTCCAGCGCCAAACAATTCCAGCAACTGTCAAGCAAGAAATGAATGGATAGAAAAGGACAAAAACTATATTCTACGCAGAACCACACTATAACGCCATGAAATAAAAAATGAACACACTTTACCTCATAATACTGTGAAAATATAGAAAATAAACACTTTTGTAGTAGAAAGTGAAGGTTCGGCACCACTTACACGAAAAGCCCACCACTAGACATGACCCTGAGCATCCACCCTCACAACAAACTTATCCAAAATCAATCTTAATGTTATCCTCCTCATGTTCCAACAGTCGACTCACCCTGTTCTCGCTAAGGAGACTAACAAGTTCGGCCATCGGGATGCTGCGTTCTGACACGCGGAATTCATTCCATTCACGTGACAACTGGAGGATTGACGCCCTCGTGATACCTGGGAGGATCAAACCATCCAGTGGTGGTGTGACGAGTTCCTTCTCTGTAAATAACAAAAAATTGAATCTTCTTTTTTGAGATACGACCTAATAGCACTTTCAGCGTTTAGAGTACTAAATGCAGCAGTTCTAAAGCACAGTCTACATTTTATAATTTCTTATTCTGAACAAAATATTTTAACCTAAGGACGAAAATATAACGTATTCACTACAAACAGAACTTAAAATTAAAAATGGCAGTGGTAGGAAGGACACCATGCTTTTGAGTGTTACTGGCTACAGTCCGCCTCTGGTCCGCTTACTACGCGACTATAACTGGCTTTTATAGCGCAAAAAGCAATTTGTGTTCAATGCTACTTCATTACCAGCGACAATTTAAAGAAAGAAAGTGACTGGTAACTGGTTTTATGGTAATAAATAATAGAAAAGATATGTGATGTAACATCCTTTTACTCTTTCAGTACCTGTTTGGTTCAGGGTCAACAGGAATATATATATATATACATAAGACTGCCATAACATGTAAAAATTTCCATTAAATCGGTATAGTTAATCATGATACCAGTCCATTCCCTTATTATACAGCATACGCAAGAACATCCCAATGACCTACAAACCTATTTCGTCACTTCCATGCAAATGAATTTAAGCTCCGTATAATAAGAAGGTCCCCACTTAATGGTACCTGCGCCTTGTCGTGGTGGTGGGGCCTTGCACCGTAAAAAGGAAGATGTTCCGAAACTTCGATCAAAGCCTCGGACAGACGGACCTAACAGAGGACCGAATGGAAGAGGAGAACTGAGGAGGCCGTGGACCGAATACGGACCGGAGAGCCATAGAAGAATAATAATAAGAAGAAGGTATTGTTCATTTTGTTAATTTCACACATCACATGAGTACTACTCAAAATGAAGCAAAATAACTGAAGATTTGCTGTTCAAAACAAATTACAACAAAAATGAAAAGGTCTGAATACAAAGAATAAAAATATTACCTCCGCTCTCGTTGATACAGAACATGAAAATATTCATGGTGCCGACCTCGGTGATTAGGTGATCTTCACCGTACAACCACAGAACTTGCTGAAGGCCCTGTCCGAGAGCTTCTCGCTATATATTAAAACAGAATAAAAAAAAGTCATACTCTAATTATGTTGGTGATGAGATTATTATACAGTATTACCACAACATGTAGAACAAACTCCATGGAGCAGTCATTTTTGATAATCCAATAAATATTCAACTGGACAGAAAATTCCCTGCATCTAATAAAATCAAAAGGTTCATTACAATGTTCGCAAGAGATCACCACTGGTTCCTACGCTTAGCCAGATGAATCCAGCCAACATAACCAATTATCTTAAGAAATTTAACCCATATCTGCAGAAGAAAGGCTGTTTTATATTATCACCTGCACATGAATGGTAGGAGCATAGTTCGAACCCATCTTCTTATCACCGCAACCGCCGGGCCAAGCGCGTGTGAACTGAGGATCTGCCAGCAACGACACTGCGGATTCGCCTGCACCCGAGAAATAGGCGCCGACTGGACAAAGGATAGTGTACAGCATCGCTGACGCGCACGCTGCGACACCCAACGTTGGCTGGAAAAGCGGAAAAGAACGACGAGACTTGGAGGCAACCAAATTATGAAAGGCACGTGATAACAACGCAGAACACAGAGTAAACTGAATGTCTGTCTGCACGTTTTAACGCAACATATGCCTACTATTGGGCACACGGAGAGGACAGCGACGTAGATGTCATGAACTATGAATGTCTGCTGAAAATTTAAGTATTTATAATTCAAAATTTCAAAGTAAAATGTTAGCCTGTTAGTTCAGATGGTACAATGAAATATTCCAGAATTATCATAATTCTGTGGACCGTAAGACATTATTCGTTCCTTCTGCATCGTGTGGTTTGAAAGTACAGCAGGATGACTTAAAACATTTTGTGCAAAGTGGCATGTGTTGGAATCTTAAAACAAATATGATAAATAATACCAAAGAAAAAAAAACAGACTATTAACTTTTTAACCCCCCCCAAAAAAAAACACACACACACACACAGCTGTTTTACGGTATGAAAATAAGTCAGCGAGCCTTGCAACATTTTTCTAAATTCCTGTACTTCTACATACATTTATTCTCTTTTTATATTGCTTTAGAATGCTTTTGCGATCAACAGCTTGTGAAATCAGTATAATGCGATTATTCCATCTTTCAACATTATCACGGTATTGCATAAGCAACTAACATCAAGAAACACATTCCTATTACAGCAACATAAATACAAAAAATCTTTCCCGCTACAACACCGACTTTTTAAACGCAACAACAAAAAGCAAAATACAAAATCATCCCTTGGCTTCTAATTTTTAGCATTTCTTTCACGCATTTATCAAACTGCATGAATCTGGCTTTACCAGTCAGTTTAAATCATTACATACATGTTTTTAACCCTCCACTGATAACCTGACCTGACCTTGAACTGCATCCAACGTATGGCAATCCACGTCATGAGCAAAAAAAAAGGAGATTCTGCATTACGACACCAAACCACCGAAGCATCGCCACATTTTGAAACTGGTTCAGTGACCATTATTTCTATTTACACAAATGTTATCAAAAAAATTCCAAGCTCTGACGCTAAGGCCTGATGTGATAACGATACAGTGATTTGTAATGAGAAGCAAAAACATAATTTAACTACAGCCTGTTGGATCATATGCTCTGTGCGACTTGTTTCAACACTTTAACAAACAATTACAAAACCTTAATAATTATTATTTTACAACTTATTCCAATGTGAGTCTCTATTTGCTCAGGAAATTCATGAAAGGCGGCTTCGATGTTTTCGGTTCGTGGTTCATTTGACGACACTGTCAGTAACTCTGACTTGACAACATCAGATGATCAGATAATTAATGATTATAAATTTGAAAGGATGAGAAAGGAAACTCATGACCTAATTTAAGGCAGTATTCTGGGATTTTCCTGGAGGGACTGAGAAAAACCACAAAACCGTCGGTCAGGACAGCCAGTCACCAAGCTTAGTTTTGAAATCAGGACCTTCCAAATATGGAATTCTCTATTTTGCAACATGAACACATGCATTTTCAATAAATATCTTAATTGACAGAACTGTACTATAATTTTGGCACCTGTCAAAAAAGGGCAAAGAATTATCAATCATGTCAGTGGTAGTAAAGACATGACTGGAGGCGGTGGAGGCAAAACCGCTAACGGAATATCTTGGCCATGGTGACATGAAGAAGTCCACTCTATGCTCTGATATCCTGGGAAAAGCCGACAGAATGTTACACAATACTATTACAGTGAATGCGATGTTGCTACATTTTAACTATAAACTGGGAAATTCCAATCATGCAATGGTTAAAACATATACCAGTAACCTGAACAGATATTTCATCATAAATCATTAATATGTAATTTCAATCACAAAACGAGTAATTTAATGTACTTAGAGGCCAACATATATAAGCTTTGATATCGACAAATTACTACAAACTCCCATAAAATGATTTGTATACACTGGGACGAGAAAATTTATAAAATTCTGGTTCACGAGCCCGAAGAAAAGAGACAACTTGTAAGACTTAGGCATCAAAGGGAGGATAATATTAAAACGAATGTTAGGGAAATAGGATTGGAGGGTGTGGTTTGGATTTGTCTCGCTCAAGATATGAACTGGTGGCAGGTTTTTGTGAGTACAGTAATGAAACTCTGGGTTCCACAAAGAGCAGGAAATTTCTCAACTAACTGAGCATAGAATTAGCTTCTCAACAAGGACTGCCACTCTCACCACAATTTTATTTTTTGTTAAAGTTGAACCATGTTCTTTTCATACTGGACTCTTCAATTGGACTCTATGTACACCCTATAGCATACTTCTACAAGACGTATTTTAATATTAATATTCTTTATGAATGTTCTTAAAAATGCCACTTCCACATTCATTAAGACGAACATTTCTCAAATTTTGTAATTAAAAATACTTGAGGCTCCAGACATCACAACAACACATATAACTGAGAGATTTTCATACGACGATCAAAAAAAAGTCTACTTACGTCAATACCAATAAGTGTCGGGCGGATATAAAGGCTGGATGACTCGGAATGAGGCACCCATTCCTGGTCTATGCTGATGAGCCGACAAAGGCACTTTATGAGGTTTGCCCCATCAAATGTAGGAAGACCCGCTCGCAGAGCTGTCTGATTCATACGTTCCATGTTCATCTCTGGGCGGAAAATACGTATCTTTCCATCCACACCACGATATGCTTTCATGCCTTCAAACAGCTGAAATTTTGTAATTATAAACATTATTTTCACTCGGATCCGAGACGGAAAGAGTAACGGGAGAACGGAGAGCATCATAATTTTCAGTCTCACCAGAATCCAGTGGCAGGCTCTTGCGAACACGGTAATGAACATTATGTGCTGTCATGCTACCTCTTTTAATAACATAAATAACAACCGTCAGACATTTGTAAATTCATATCCCAAAAAAAAATTAGCATATATTTCCTACAGATATGGCAACCATCCAATATTTAACTTAGACTTCTGTACATATGGCAAATATCCAGAAGTTTAATGTCTATTTTTGCAGATGCATCGCAAACACAGAAATGAAGAGATGCTGATGGCTATGCAGCAAAAATGAAAGAGTGAAAAAGAAAAAAAGAAGGAATAAATGATCAGAAAGGAAGGAAAGATATGTCAGTAATCTGTTAAAGTTACTGTAAAAGAGAAACTCAAATAGATGATTGTCACAGCCACTTATAAAGATGACTTGTCTTCTGCTGTGTAGTCTTGTAGAAAGTGATCAGAGTTTAAGAGATTCTTGCTGCCTCCATCATCAGGATAATCATCGCACTGATGACTGACGGAGTAAGCACCCATGCAATTTTGGTCAATTTCTATAATACTATACCAACACTAAACCAAATCTAATTAATAAATTTGCTTACAGTTAAAAAAAATCCTCCTCTAATGTTGATCTCAATGTTTCATCAAGAACTTATCTCGTTTATAACTGATAAATGTCGTTATAGACCGGATACAACCGCTGCTACACTTTCATCTTGCCTTTGTGTTACGGTTTTTTTGAAACTCAAAACACTAACTTTAGAATACTGATTTCAAAATTATTTTACCTGTTACAACCCCAACATAAGTTTGAAGGATAAATTATTAGCATTATATGGTGGAAGAGAACCGATACAATTACAAATAAAAAAAATATTTACATTCATATATTTGTATACACATAAAAATATATCCTAGCTCATTTGATCAAGCAAAAATGTTATTTATCAAGTATTTATTCTACAAGACCAAATATTTTTTGTATTACATAATATACTCTATATATCTGAAAACTGTATTAATTAAAATAATAAATTTACCTCAGTTGCGTAATGCAGAACTTTAGCTGCTGGGTGAAGTACTATATTTTCAAATGGAATAATTTCAGGTCTCTGCCAACCTCCCAGAGATTCGTGGTAAAGGATTTTAAGCATGTGATCTGTGAAATACTTCCCGAATTGGAGATCTGCAACTTCTGGTTTTGGCTGCAATTGATCAGGGGAGGCAAGCTGCACAGATAGATCTGCAAACTATTGAAAACAACAAAATACCGTAGCATCATATAAGAGAGAACAATGCTCAAGCATAACAGAAGTCCATTACATAAAAAGCATAAAAGCTTAACTTCAATTTGTCACTTTTCTTGAAAAATGCAGTTACGTACCTTAAACGTATTTTGTACTTCATTTGAAATTGAAAGAGCTGGTTTAACCTTATGAGTGGCAACATGTCTGCAAAGAAACTACAGATTTCATTCATAAGTCATAAATCTAAATGTAGCAAGCATGCGTTTGCCGAACAAAATGGCTTACACAAAACAAAAGTTGTTAATAAAATCCTACTGACTGGATGTTATACCCAAAATGCACACAGTAGGACAGTAGCCAGCAGAAGAATTGCAACTAATAATTTACTTATAAGACCACAACACTTAAGTGATACTTCACAGATCCCAAAAATGGTCAACAATACAGAATGAAGAAAGTTCTCTGTTACAGTTTGTGAATATTCTCTGCCTTTTATAGAACTGAAAGGTTCGTACAATATTTATAAGGATCTGACTCTTTATTTAATACCCATTTTAATATTATACTCTCATCTATGTCCAAGCTTCTATTCAGATTTTCCAGCAAATATTCTTTTCTGCATTTCTAACATCCCCCATATATCCTACATGTCATCCTTCTCATCCTCATCAATCTGACCACTGCAATAATTATAACTCGCTTTTAACGCTCTCTTATAAAGAGGTGGGACATATGAACAAAGACCTCTGTCAAAACAGGTGTCGTTCTGATGTGACCACGAAATTCACTTCCTACCTCAAAAAACACAAAACAAAAACACAATGTGTTTCCATTACAAAGATCAAATGGTAAATATTGTTTGTTTATATTAAAACAATACACCGCAAGAACACTCTTACATAAAGAGACCATTAATAAGTCTGACCTAAATGAAAATTTAAATCGTGAACTTTCCAGAAGACACTTACAATCAAAACTTAAATTGCCTTGAAATTTTTCATAAAACCCTCCAATACTGAATATTATGAAAATCCATTCAGCTGTTCTCAAGTTGTTACATGTGGACAGACACAATAATTTTATCGGGTTAATGAGTGGAAAACAATGACACACACCCAGTAACAAGGTTATCATCACTGATGTAGTAATAAATGAGTGATCAGGTGATATATCCTACTTTGCTGGGTCTATTAGAAGGAGTAATTCTAATCTCTGTCACCCTCGGTAGACTAGTGGTTAGCGAGCTCGCCACTTGACCTAAGGTTGGCGGGTTCAATCCTGGCCGATGTAAATGGATTTTTAAGGGTGATAAAAATCCGTAGCACAACTTCCTTCGGAGGGGAAGTAAAGCCGGTGGTCCCATGTTGTAGATTTACGGCATGTAAAAGAACCTTACGAGCATGATACGAGATGTTTTGTAAGCAAAATTCAGCGGCCATTTCTCACCAAAGTCTCCTGATTAACTACTAGTTAGCTCTGGCAGTCAAATCAGGATTGAGTAGAAATTGTGCAGAGTCAGTGGGCTGGTCACTCACTACTCACAAATGCACACTTCAAGACCAAGAAATCACTGAAAAGGAGGTAGTGAAAACCCACAACCGGGTTGTAGTGCCAAGAAACAACAACAATTCTAATCTCTGGCTTCATTTTAATATAATGAGTGAAGATTTATTACAAAAAAAAAACATTGAATCAAATTCAACACAATCACCATCAGTCTGTGTGACAGGCCCTTTAGTTATCAACATACAAACTGTACAGTTCACAAGAAATTGATAGCCCTCCTTATTATGATGTAATGACACCGTAGTTATCTTTCATCAGCGTAAAGATAATCAACCAAAACTTAAAGAAATTAAAGCAATATCCAGCAAAAATGTTTAGTAACTAAACCATGATGCTTAGAGTATTGTCCATTATCTGAAAAGTTATTTATCATCCTTCATAGTTATTTACAACACTTCTTTCAAAACACAATCACCATATTCATATCTTATATGACTTGTCAGAAGGCCACAAAATTTCCAGGCTTTCTATCAGAGATAGTATTTGTGTATGGTAGAGATGAATTAATATGGTGATACGAGTGACCTGCAGGAGCAATTTATCACCTATCTAAAATAAAAATTATTTCACTTACATGATAAGAGGAAAAGAAAATATTAGGCACGTATGGAAGACAATATCAACATTATGTTCAATACCTTTTCATTGTGGTTTCTGTTTTTCAGACTAAATAATTGCATGGAACAGAGTGTCATCAATGTCCCACCTTCCGACTTTCAGTATCCATAACAATGATGTTAACAAGCATTATAATTGTGCTAGGACACATTCTACATCCTTGGCTTAGGCCTATGAAGGATTTATGGAGTGTAAAAAAATTCTGTTCTATTCTATCTTATTCCTTCTACTCAGTAAATGAATTTATAAATACATGTAAGTAATAATGGTGATGGTTCCCATCATAATTATTTTGCTGTAATACTGTAGTTCCAAAAATCTGTCAATAGCTGTTATAACTATGTATTTATATTTGTACTAGAAACAAGTATTGTATTTGTGCTATGATCTGTTCTACATCCTTGGCTTAGGCCTATTAAGGATCTATAGATTGTAAATAAATTCTATTCTATTGTAACACACGCTGCCTATATAGCATTAACACTTATCTGCTTCATTTCACACATCACATACAATGGCAAAATTAAGTACTGCAAGAATGTCTTAAAAGGTTATTCTAACCTACCTTACGACGGAGAAGTACTCTTGGTAAACGTGTTAAACTAACCATGATGAAAGGCTATATTCCCATAAGATGCCAACTAAACACTAATCATACTTCCATATCAATCAGCATACGTCACGTGAACTTCAAACAATGTTACATATTTATTATACAAGTCAAGAACGCAAAAACGTAAACGATCCAGCACTTACTTCCCGGACAAATATAATGGAATAACTTATCACGTTTCTCACAGTACCCAAACTGGTTTCGCAACGTGAATGTTTCGTAGCTACCATGATAACCAACTGACGAACAATTACACAAGTGTAAAATAATAAGTAATACCAATACAGCAAAAATATGAGTATGTTTAATAGTTTTAGCCTAATTTGTGTAGCAAACTGTTTTAAATATTAAATTAATTACGGTATACCTGTCATGACTGTATAATTTATGAATGGACTGCAGTCACTACCATAAAAACAAAGGATTGATGAGGGGCTGGACGACCAGGGTTCATATCCAATGCAATGTAGGTACAGATTAAATATCCTTAGACTTTATTTAAATATGAACTAAATTATGGTCTGTGCAATCTGATGTATCCTGGTTTTAAACAAATTGTTTAAAAGGAAAACACAGGGACATGCTCAAAGCCTCATATGGTGAAGCTTGGATGTAATGTATGCATTGCAGCATCCTCTGTGAAGGCTCCTTCTTTTAGTCTACATCCAATTTTCTGCTCATGCTGGATACTATAGCGACACACACAAAGTAATACTGCACTTAATACTCTTAATGATTTTCACTGCTGATTAGTAAGCCCTATTGATGACTGTCTTTACATTCAGACTGCCTCAAAACAATGGTCAATTATTTATTGAGCTATGGTAAAATGAAAAAAGTGTGTCAAATAATTGATTAAGCCTTTGTTGTCTATTGCATAAGGAAATTATAATTAAATAAGTTCTTGGAATCAAAATAACATTAAAAAAAAGAATAATGCAAAATTGTGTTGGAATCAAAATAACATTAAAAAAAATAATGCAAAATTGTGTGTTACCAATAAATTATAACCCCTTCTTTACATGAAGAAGAAACTGAAGTGTATCAATTTTCTCAAAAACCTATTATATAAGAAATCAGTACAACCATGAAATATAGATACAGGGATTTATAAAATGCACCTTCGCACCAGCCCACTGAACCTTCCTCTTGGTATATAACATAAAAATGACAACTTACCAATGGGAAGAAAATCAACCTGGTTCATGGCTTAATTGTTGTTCCATTCTTTGTTAAGTTATCATCTGCAATGAAAAAAATCTGCCCATCACATAAATTTTTATTTAAAAAAGACAATAATGGAATGAAATGGGGAAGGAAAAGTAATAAATATGAGAAACAAAAAAAGATGTGACTGAATTAATTATGTACTGGTTTGTAGCCCATGCGGTTTGGCTACAGTTTGAAAATCTGTTTATTTAGCCTACGAATTTTACATAAAGACAATAACACATGTTCTCATCCACAAAATAGGATTGGGTCTTACTTCTATTGTTTCATGTGAGTTTTGTATGCATAAATACATGATAGTTGGCAAGCTGTTTCACGGTTGAAGCCTACATGCCTAATGGCAAGAGCTCTTATCATACCGCCATTTGCAACATAAATACGGCAACATAAATCTGTATATGTTGGGGATTTTTGGAACGATTTCTTGTTCTACATCACAACACCACATAGTAATTTGAACAAAGTCTTCTTGATCTATACACGTTTTTTTTTTTTACTTATCTATGAAGCTACGTATTCACATAAGCTCGCAATCACACTTCTTTGGAATTTGTACATTATCTTCGAGTCCTATATTTGGCACGAACATGAGCCCATGCATTTCAGGAAATGCTAAAAACATTCAGTCATGAGCTCGCACTGGCATGCAGCCAAGTACATTCAGTTTAACATTATATTATTCACAAAACAGAACAATACCTATGGCAGCTATCAAAGTTTTACATATTATGTACATGTATCACATATTCAAGGTACTTTGCGGACTGGCAAATTCTGCAAGTCCCAGCGTACCTCCAATAATTAATTACTTCTTGCCATTTTGTAACACAGTAATAATGAAGTGTAACTTTTTTTCAAGTCTGCATACAAAAATGTCACCAGCTAACTTCACAATACCTAACCATTTACACAGATTTATTACACAGACAGACGTTTGGAATCTCTATTTAACATCCATGAAAATTACTGACACATCTTGCAAAAAAAAAATAATAATAAGTACATTAGCACCATTCCTACCAACATTCACAATACCTGGTGTCACATCTCTTGCAACATTAACAACGCGGAAGGAAAATAAAAAAATAGATGCCGTAAAGAAGACGCAAAAACCATGAAAGATTTTGCACATAAACCTACGGGAGAATCAGCACATTTTGAGATTAATAAATAGCCTGCGATTATGGTTGCGTACATTACGCTTGAAGTACTACTGGCCATTTAAATGTTTCCGCAAGAAATTCATCATTTGCGGTCAATCCGGATATTGCGACAAAACGGAAACTGACCGACTCGATCACAAGATTATTCGTGTTTTTCCTTGACCTGTTATGAGAACTTGACACAAATTCTTAGTTTATGATTTTGATTGCAGTGGTTCGTGACCATGCTGATGGTTTTTTGTCACTTCGGTTCTCAAAAGATCAGTAAGAATATCAGAACACAGAGCCCATGTTGCGAATAGCTCTTGATTCTTGAGAGACGTCTGTTGGCTTGTACATTAATACTAGAAATGCAATCTCAGTGAATGTCAGGTTAGGAAACCAAACAATATGAAAGACAATGCCCACTCCTAGCCTTTAAATAATGCATTATCTTACATCGGTGAGAACGGTATTGCATTTGCGGCTTTGACTTCTACTCTTAGATTACGCTAACATGATATAAATAATAATAATTAATAATCATAATAATAATAACTACAAATATAATACATCATAAAAATAACTTAAAATAAAATATTGCATCCGAATGAAATTAACGCTGCTGTAAACTGCCACTAAGACAGGTCCGTACAAAACTGTCATATATTACATGTATTCACATAATTCCTGCAGGTGGGTACATGCATCAGTTGTCTTCTTTAAAATAAATTTACTTTGTAACAGCTTTCCTTATAGCAAATAAGTCCAGAACTTGAATGAAGTGCCTCAAAGACCAACCACGCTGGCAGGATAAACAATTACAACTCGTGATAAAGCGGAGTGCTCAACATCAGTCCAAAGTTGTCCTAATCAAAGGACTTTATTTTCTACACAGTCAGCCTGATATCTCCTTAATTTCCAATGAAGAAATCAATTGCCAAAAAAAAACAAAAACAAAAGAGCGTACTTTTGCACCCATTCATTTCAGTACATAACTCGGTATAAACAGTTTTATGGATCAAATGAAATACCTTTAATATATTATCATTTATTTTTAGTTTCTCAATTTATTCTAGTGTTCTTTGTTTAATGACTACTGAATAATAACAATAAAAAATGGGATCAGTACTTTATTTTCAAAACATCGGTAGATGTTACGGAAAAACATAACCTGCGCGAAATTGAAGTCGCACTTAAATTCGAGTTTTGCTTTGAAATGATCACCATATCTCTGATCCTGATGATGATGGCGATATTCACAATAACTTAAAATTAAATTCGTCTGTAGCAATCCATACCAAAATTACGTAAATGTTTTGAAAAAAAAAAAATTGTGTCTTTAATAAAGTGTAACATAAAATTTTACATAGAATAAAGACTAGAAATCAAACTTTTTGATTTCTTTTCAAGTTCACACCATGGAAAATCATGGCACACTGAATTTTATCACAACCTAAGGATAAAACATTATTGTTTTTACTAAATGTTAAGAAAATGGCATAAATAAATTTGCTTTGAAACCTCCTTTACATGGGTAGTAGAGGACAGAGTCCATACGTATCCAAATTCCTTTTCCTTGCAAAAGATGGCACTGTAAATGGCTCGTGAAGACATACAGACATTATCGTGCTACAGTTATATATGCTATAAATAATTTAAATAACTGTTATCAAGTGTTCTACTTTGTTCGATGGATACTGCACAGAACCTCGCGCCACTGTGTCTTCCTTCGCTGTGATAATGATCGTAACCGATCACACTTCCAGCTTCTGCAAAGCAAAGTTTAAAGCTCTGGACTTTTTCACCGTCTGCTAATACAGTACGATTTTGCAGGATGATTAACTGATTTTACGACGAGCGTGACCGGACATTCCACGCCAGATCCGCGAAGCGTGCAAGATACAGAACTGAAACATTTTACGAGGTATTTGTAATAATCAGATGCAGCGCTTAGAATTACCCGATGCATATGAATTATGATGTATTGGCACTTCCTCGTTTGTGCCGTGAGTCACGGAATCAGCTTTTAGAAAGTGGAAATTTGCGAGCACGCAAGAACGGAGTTAATTTTCTTAATCGACTTAGCGTATTTTACCAGTTTTGAACAGGTTCGAGTTCCAAGGGGCTCGCATGAGCACCTCGTTAATTTTTGGCTAATTATCTGAGCCCTTTGTGGTTAGCACAAAAAATATAACATGATACAGCAGTATGAAACTATCAGTACATCGATACATCTTGCCTGTCCGTACTTCCGAATGCCAGATGCGGAGGGGACGTACACGTTTGCTTGTAATGCTGTACTGCGACTTGTCTTATACTGTATGTGAGTTATTAGTATGTTTGATGCGCAGATGACGCAGGCAAGTCCCACTTTAACAAATCCGCAACGCAGCCCTGGCTGTGAATATAATAAGATTAAGGCTGTACGGAATGCAGCAGTAATCTTTCTAATTATTAAGATATTAAAAAGTCTACGAGACTGTAACAAATAGAAAGTAATTTGTATTGATTCCGTACTGAACTCCAAAAAGCTGGTGATCCTAGATCTAAGATAGGAGAATAAAATCCTAAATCACCGTTAAGATACGAAGAATATTACGTGTCCTGTCTGTGCATCCAGACATGTTTCTCTGCATCTTGCGTAGCCCCGACGCCAGTGTTTGAGTTGAGCCGACTTAAAAAATTCCTTACATAATCATTTCTACCACGGTGGTAACGGAGGCAGACGGCACAACCGCGCGTTTCCACGTCTTGCAGGAATAAATGCGTGTGTTCAGTCATCATCATGATGCCTGCCAGTGGGGCTTCCATCAAATGCCACCGATACGGATGTGTCAGGGGAGAAATTAAGTACATCCGTGGGAGACAGACTGTCAGGCGAGTAGTAGAACGGGCCGCTTCCGGCCGTCGAATGTTCCGAGGAGCTGGGACCGGCTCCATTGGTGGGTGGAGAGGAAGGGCGCCCCGAAGCCGAAGTTCCAGGTGAAGCCATGTCAGGTGGGAGGAAACTCATGTCTGGACCACCCTCTCGACACCACAGCTGCCTCATTTCTTGGCGACGTTGTCGCATCAGCGACTTGTACTCCGAGATTCTCATCTTCTTTCCGTCTACGATGCACGTCCGCTTGGGTCGTGGCCGATACCTGTAGTCTGGATGCTTCTCCATGTGTAATTTTGATAACCGTGACTGCTCTTCGTAGAATGGTTGCTTCTCAGCATTTGACATGGCTTTCCAGCGGGCACCTGCGGACACCAATTTCCTTTAATAGTATTCTAATAGAATTATCTGCTAAGTAATACGGAATACTTTAGGCGAATGTTTGGATGGAATGTAAAGACAAATATGCTCATAGAAAATACATTTAACAATTGCTATAAACAAAGTTTCTATGGGTTAACATACATAATAAAGAGACGTTAAATGCTTTTCTGTGTGTGGGGTTCAGACGAACAGTTGACTCCTTTGCGAAAACACTTATTTTTAAAATCCCTGCTTTGATTTTTTTTATTTTTGGCTTTTCTCTCTCTGTCTTCCTGTTTAAGAAATGAAATTCTGTCACACGTATTTTATGGACTACGTGAGAAGAAGAATATTTACTTTAATTTTTGTGAAAGCAAATATTTTTACATTTTGTGAGATTAAAAAATGCGTGGTCTCCGACCGTTCTGCCATCTCTCTTCCAGAAAAGGGGATACATGATTATAGATGCTTTATTACGTCGTAAAGCACGGCGTACATTACGATACTTACCAAGTATTTTGGAAATGTTGGAGTTATGCATGTCAGGACAGGCTTTAAGAATTTTTCGCCTTTCATCCTTGGCCCAAACCATGAAAGCGTTCATTGGTCGTTTTATGTGAGGTTTATTCTCGCCTTCTCTCTTCTGTTGTCTCACTATTTTCGCTGAAATTGAAGCCAAATATAAAAAAATTAGGGTCCAGTGTATTAAATATGTCATGTTGAGAGAAACACTATACAGCTGAAATGCTGAAGGAATTTTTTTTAAGTTTGAATGTCTTGTGACCTTGAAAAATTTATTTGCATTAAAATATTCATTTCACTGTAAGAGGAGGTGATTAAAAGTTTATTAATGACAAAGAGATTAATCTTATTTATTGGCACAATCAATGCAACGCTCACCTTTCTCGCTATTTTCTTCTGGCATTTTGTACCCTGGATCAGGCCCCCACACTGAAAACAATTTTGAAAAGATACACATTCATGAGAACCACACAATTTTTTGATTATCAGTTCATTAAACTGAGAGATCTATAACTTTCAACTTCTGGCATTTTGTACCCTGGATCAGGTCCCCACACTGAAAACAATTTTGAAAACATACACATTCATGCGAACCACACAATTTTTTGATTCATTAAACTGAGAGACCTAAAACTTTCAGTTTGTTAATAATAACTTAAATGTGTCTCCAGAGGATATTTTAAAATTGTTCTTAATTAAAGAAATTTTACAGGTGAACTTAAGTCTGGAAATATCTCAGTTACGACGCCTGAAAGTATGTGTTTAAATTAACACACACAAATAAAATTCATATGTGGCACCGTCTTTCAAAGTAGGATCCTCAGAACAGACTGGAACACGAGGACTCGACAGCCTTTTGTACGTTACAGAACGCTTAGTCGTAAACAAGTACAGATAATTGCACACAGAAGGGAGGAGACAGAATGTATGTATAGAAAAAATGTATTTAGTACACAGAAATCTTAATTCGTGTTCTACGATGGAGTACACAGCGCTTCTAAGAAGTAAGAAACCACGGTTTGGACGCGCAGCATCTCTGTGCGCCTCGACTTACTCTGACAGGTGACTAAATCAGCTTCCTCTTTACCGGAGCTGAATGACGGCTCATCCCGATGAGATTTGGAAGAGGCGAGATGTGAGCCCGATAGGGCGTACATGTGTAGAGGAAAGTGCGGGTGATGCTTGTCGGGTGAGATGAGCCCCTCCTTACCCTGGGTCATACCAGGACTCGAGGGCAACCCCAGTTTACCTGCAACATAATGACCCTCACTTTCAGGACTTGTATACATCACCTCGGCTTCACGACGAAGCCCACGGAATTCTAAACGAGGCCGAGGAAAGTCCGACAAAGTCCACGACGTCTGGATGGAATGAAACAGCGTGTGTTTTGTTTCCGAGAATGAATTAATCAGTCGCTGTACTTTATTCAATGAACTCGCCTGCTGATGGGGGCAGCGGGCTCAGATGCGGCGGAAGGACCGCTCCGTATGGGAGGAAGGCCCTCGGCATCACGAGGCTTGGGGGCAGCAATTTAGGAGTCGTGGCAGCTGCAGGCTGCTCACCCAGGCCATGCAGCCCCAGGGGAAGACTATGAAGGCTCGTTCCAGAGCCCGCCTTGGGCTTCGTCAGGTTCAGAGGCGCATCGGGGTCTGCCTGCGGTGCTGGCGGCGATGACGATGATACTGGGGGTTGAAGTGGAGGGGGTGAGGACTTTTCTGTCGCTCCTTTTGCAGGCATATGTCCAGAAACCCAGCTCTGATGAGGAATCAGCTGTCAGGTACAAGCATATCGTTAATTGTGCAATTTTGTTATATTGGTAATGTCTAGAGCGGGTGTGGCAAACTTTCTTTTTCTAAAGAAGGCTGAATGATGATGATGATGATGATGGAAAAATGACATTAATAACAGCAACAGTCACTACCTGTTTTGGCATCAACATTGTAAAACCACTCTTTAAAAGTTATTCTATGTCACAAATGACATTCATCCGCCAAACATAACAAACATTTTTATTGTTGGGTTCTTGAACCATGCAGTCTGTTAGAAGTTCCACACGTCAGAGGTACTTACGCCTCCATCATCAGGGCGATGAAATAGCGGTAAACTTCTACTGGACTACATGGCATAACACCCCAGAAAACATTCTTTAATCATCATTGTTGACACGTCATGATGGCATTCTCATCCATTGTTGCAAATAACGTAAAATTTTTGCTTTTTTTTTTTTAGTAAAAGCGCTGTGGGGTCTTTATCTGTGTGGGAACGCTTAATTTGTATTTTTTAATCTATTTTTATAATCATTTATTCCAGGTCTGTGTATTTACTAGTGCTTGGCTGTTGCAGGTTTTTTGCAGCTGGTAACATAACCTAACAAATTAACTGCATTATAATTATCATTATTATTTGCATCACAGCTGTCGTCATTATTATCGCGGCGAGTGCTGCCACATGGCGCCGCACCAGAGTACTACTCACGTTGCTTGCGAGTGACGTGCTGACCGCCTTGCTAACCGGTGGAGTTCCATGCGGCAGTTGAGGTAAGCTGACGGATACGGCACCGGGTACAGACGGCAGACCTCTGAGTTGTTCCAGGAAAGGTAAGAACATTAAAGACTGGGGATTGGGGATGTTCAACCCTTTGTTGGGGCTGTACTGAGATGAGATCTGAGACTGCAACACAGAAACAAGGGACATCTTAACAATTCTCTTAATTTCTTTTATAACTCCACGCCAATATCTTCTTACGTACTCGTAGTATTGACCAATTGATGGTTGTCATGGAGACGCTCTGTTTTCTCGTCGAGGTATTTAATCAACTTGTGTGTATTAATTGCATTAACTCTGGGCTTCAAAAAGTGGCGTAAGTACCTAATTCTGACAAGTTTTGTCGTATAAAAATTCCATATTAACTTACGTGAGTGATGATGCTTTGTCTCACCTGAAGTTCCTGAATCTTGTGATGCTGTTGCTGAATGTACTCCTGTTGACGCTTCAAATGTTCCTCTTGAAACCTCTGCAATTCCAGCTGCTTCTGTGTCTCCGACGTCACGTGACTCGCAAATGCCTACAAACAAAGAAGTTATTTGTAATGAGGGCGCTGATGAAAAAGTTATCCTACCATCTCCTCCTTGGTATTCCGAGTTGATGTCTTCCACGAGGCTTCCCCGCCAAACTTCAGCAAAAAAAAAAAAACTAAAATTATAAAACAATTTTTTACTACTGACTTGCGTGTTTATGAACACAAGGAGAAAAGCAAATTGTAATTCTCAGAACAAAACTGGGGTCTCGGGTTCGATTCCCTGCGGTGCCCGAATTTATAACTTGTGTTGGGCAATGCCGTGGTCTAGGCAACACGGAGTTTTCCTCCGTGGCATCCCAATAATTACTCCATTCACACACAGAAGAAGGCAATGGCAAACCACTTCTGGATCATCTGCCAAGAACGTATATGAACAGGTCCCAGTCCGAGAAAAGGATGGAAGGATCCTGTTCATATTGACCTGTCGTCAGACAGAACACTAAATAAATAATAAATAGTCAAGAGTACGGCCTATTCTTAATCATGGTAACGTGTCTCATGTTCGGGATCCGAACCTTGACCTTCCGAAGTACTGGGGGTAACCAATCGACCGCGACGTTCGATTTAGGCAGAAACAAACCTAATAGTTATCTTTAATGACAACAGACAGTCAGATATTTTTGATTGCTCTGTGTTTATTTTATCCGTGCTTTGTGGTCACATGTATATTTAGCGTTGCAATGAGTCATACCTATGTTTTTATATGGGTCCAGAATGCTGGATGTTAACAAAAGAAGAGATATGAGTTTCCTTATACCGGCGGTCACACAATGATGGATCGTGGGTGCAGTGAAGTTATTAGCGAAGAGATTGGAGTAACAGGCAACAATAATGAATGACTAGGGCATTTACAAAGAACGCTTGCAAACCAAATCCCATAGCTGGTCCATCAATGCATGAACGAATGCTAAAATATGCCAGTGTGACGCAAAAACACAAATGGGACACCAGAATAGACCGAGAGATGAACACACGACAATTATTATAATTTAGAACTTTCTAAAACAAAAGATGTTGATCAAAATAGACAGAGATTAATTCGTAATAGTCCGATTTAAACATAACTCAAGGGATAGGTCACAGTTCTGAAAAAAAAATGTTTCCAATATTCTTCAGCCATCTTAGTCTTCTCATTTCCATTCACAGACGAACTACAAAAAACAAATGAGTGAACATTCCGCGGGTGTACTTTGAAATTATCCTCTTGAATATTCAAATAACTAAAAAAATACGAATCAAAAGATGCTAAACAAAGTTATATTACACATGGAAAATATAAACCAAAATTAACTTCGCCAGACTGCGGTAATTTTATGATCCGGTCTCTTCACCCAATTCTTTTCCGAGATCCACTTTCCCCCCCCCACCCCACTCCTTATTCCAAATACTTCGCACAGATACACTTTGAGTTCAGTTATCCACTACGTTATATAGCCACTTGCCAAACCGCCCACTCGGCCTAAATATACACAGGCAGGGATCCAAATTTATTCCCCATTCACAGCAGTCGCGCGGGGACATTCAGATATCACACTCAGGTCCCCTGCACTAGATCAACAACTCATTTATATTAATCAAACCACAGCGCACGATATTGTCTAAAAATCTAAAAAAACAAAAACAAAAAAACATTCACTGATTTCTAGTGTTGCATTCTTAAGAATAAATATTATCACTGGCCAAATGTTCCGCCAGCACTGTGGCGCCACGCAGTGATAGCTTTATGCATTAACGGTTGCCAAGCAACGAAACAACAGTGGACGTAGATCGCTTTTGCGCTGTAAACCGGTTATGAAACTTTCGAGATGTAAGGTCTGACTTCTGTGTTACTAACAGATGGTTGAAAAATATGAACTTTTGTTCACTGGCTAAATAAGTAAGCAAGTGTATGTAGAGGAATAGTACGGTCAACATCCACCGCGTTTATGGAACCAGAAGGTCCCTTACAGCGTCCTTTTGATGACAGATGAAATTCTGTACGTGGATTAAAGCTGAGTGAGATTAACACGTGTCAAGAAACAGAAACCTGCCGATAATGCGAGACTTCATCACGTTCACTTTCTACCCTGACTGATAATTTCTCGTCTAACGTGGGCCGTTCATCCAAGGAGATTAAAAACGGAGTGGAAATTGTACGACTTCCAACATCACAAGAAAGTCACCACGATTCAACAGAAATTAACATCACAGTAGCAAAAAAAAAAAATTATGCCAAATTAATATAAGAAAAATTGAGGTTACTATGAGAGTATCTAAACGTAAGACAAAATTCTTCTGAGCAGTACCAAATTTAAAATATTATTCCTGATTAATGAGCGGACACGTGTCACACGCCGGATCACTTAAAGACAATTTTTTACACTTCTTATCTGGCCGCCTTCTTACTGACGACATCGCTTCTAATTTATTTCTTTTATTACCTTCCTCTCTGTTTCCTTTTTGTTTATTTCTTCCTGTTTTCAAATTCCCTTGTCCTTCCCCTTCTTTGTCAATTATTTACCACCCTATGAATGTTTTCGTGAGGGTTCGCGGCACACTGGTTGAGAAACATTCCCTCATGCTATGTGGTCCTCCACATCTCAGCATCAATTCTTTCCTAGATGGCGTTTCAGCGCAGCTGCCAGTGTTCACCTTTTCCTAATCCTTCATATCTCTGACTCCTGCATCCCCCACGCGGCCTAAGAACGAGACGCAGGCCGAGGGATGTCATTACCGCCCGTGATGTATCGTTTCCTGCTCCAGGGTTAATTGCAATTTAAGCTGCACCGCAGACGAAGGAGAACAAAGACAGCTTAGAAATGACGCAGGAATCTGGAAAGCAAAATGAATCCTTCGAGACTATTTTCAGTCGCTTAGCTTCGCAAAAACTTACATAACGTTTTGTACACAAACCGAAGGTTAATTAATTCTTACCGTGGTTTATCGCAGTACCAAATCCCCGTAAACTGCATACCACCCTTTGTCGGTTGTTCCCAAATTACAAACAATGCAACTGAGAACAATTAAACATTGCGGAGGGTTCAGGATGGACAGCGGGTGGAATCTCGACCACCCTCTGGTGGTTACGGTGGTCATGTTTCACACACGTGTGTGCATCCACCTTCTCAAGTAGGAAAACCTCCGTCTCTACGTGGCTTAAGGAACTGTGACCGCCCTGAGACCGGGGGCTCACACTTACGCGACAAAGCACAGCGGTTCGCGTTTTTACCAACGAGACGATCGTCACACAACACGCCAATGGCCAGAGAGCAGACACGTAAATGGAATTAGTTTCCTCTCGTAAAACATTCAAAGTTTTGACACAGGAACGTTTCGGTGGGTAACAGTGCTTCCATCTTGCGGGCTCCAAAGTATACTGATTTCTGATAACTTTCACACGTTGACGAGAACTTTGTCGATACACAAAGAGTTAAACCTCTGATTTTAAATGTTACGACACAAAAACGGATTACTGTGTGTGTTTGTTCTGCATGGCAAAATCTAAAAATGAGTTACCCCTGAATGATCGGCAACTTGCCTGACACGGCAGCTATGCTGACAGTAAACACGCAAGGTAAAAATGTGTTTTAGAAGGTACTTTCTATCAGCGACAGAATTCACTGCAGTGAACACAACATGCCGAGTCATTCTGTGGCCTATACAGATCGAAGGTTCATCACCGTCTTCACAAAATCCCGTCATTGGACTGTGACCCGCGTCACATTTATTCAGTTCAAATGCGGCATATTATTCTACTTAAGACCCATTTTAATATTTAATCTACGCCTGACGTGTACAAGTAAACAGCATCCTTGCTACTGTCTGCAAATCTTTAAACTGGACTGTACTTAATTCTTACTGAATCTTGCAGACATTTTGTGCCGGTCATGTAACATAGGCCACTACTGCGTGGAACAGGCTGTGTTCCAAAGATCGCATTACGATATTACAGTAGACAGAATTCAATACCTTCAAAGGTGTTCGTCGGTTGCTTGGGCTCCCTTTCTACGACATGCCACACAAAGACACCCTTCCCACCCTTGAACAGCGCCAACTTTCATAATGAACTACATTAACAGCAGAATTCCGGGACCTGAAGACTTTATACTATTATAAGTTATCATGAAGATGCGAAAGGAAGGGGAAAATGAAAGATTAGAAGGTAGAGAAATGTACGAAGAATGGACGGAGTGATACATACACACACTCAAATGATAGGAAGATGCTGTAAGTTGATTAAAAACAACGCTACGTGGAAAGAAAAGAGATGCGGAGAAGATTGCAGGGGTGATGTTGGTCCCACTGATGAGATGTTACAGCAGTTCACTCGGCCCTGCCATTACGAAAAAGTAAACAGCTATAATCTCAACCCTCTGAAGCCCGAAGCTCATGCAAAATACTATTTAAGAATTCAGTCCGTACCGCGAAGAAAACACATCGCTTCACCATTCCGAAGATCAACTGGTTAACGCTGTTTAAGGAAATAATCGCTGTTTACAGTGAGAATTGTATAAAACCGATAAATAAAAATAAAGAATTATTGATTCTTGAAGAAGTGGTACATATAGTTACCACTGGGTTGTAAAGTGTTAATACCGAACTGCACAAAACAGAGCCCTTGCGAAGCTAGTCAAGGAAATCGCAGCCTATTACGAAAAACTGAAAGCTCATTACCGTCTTCACAAAAGTAAGCCACTGGTTCGCACCGTGAGCCAGATTAATCCAGTCCATATTCTGAAGTTCTATATTAACATTAGCTTGCCATTTATGATTAGGTCTTCAAATCAAATTCTGTATGCACTTCTAATCACTCCCATGCGTTCTACATGCCCAGTATTATATTACCTTGTTATCCAAATATATCCACTGCCACGTCACTTTGCTGTGACCACTGATCCATGTTATATCCACAGATATCAATTTGCGACTCACCTACGGTCTTGTTTATACGCGGAATTTTGTTTGACCCTTGGGATTTCTAGGAATATATCAATTCCCGTACCTTG